ACCCCAGAACCATGGAATGTTGAGTTGGAAGGGCCTGGTTGCTGCCATCGCTGAGATCCTGGAGGTACCAGAACACAGGGTCCCAACCCAGCTGGACAAACACTGAGGGGAATTCTGGCTGAGATCCCTGAAAGCTGCAGAGCCCTGGAAATTCTTCTGAGTGCCATTAATGCCCTGCTGACCCCGTGAGCTGCCCCTGGAATCCTGGGAAGGTCTGAGCAGGGAAAGGGCACGTTGGGGGATGTTCWCTGCCCCCATTTGCTCACCACAGGGCTGTGTTTGTGTAACACACTTTGCCCCCATTCCCTTCCAACTCCCTGTGCAGTGAGGGCTTGCTCTGAAGTTCTTATCTGTTCACATCTCCCATGCCTTACCTATTAAATTKCTAGTTCAGACTCCCACAGAGCCAACAGAAAATCAGCCAGCTATGCTTATTCATATTTTCTGATTTGTTTTTTTTTCTTCTAAACATGTCACTGAAATGTAAGCCACGCATTTGAGTGGGCCTGGTTAGARTCTGGGGATCTCTGAGGTGCAATAACTGCAGGTTCTTGGAGAGGTTTGTGCAATATCTGAAATCTTAACGGAGCTGTCCCCTGTGGAAAGAGCTGGGCTGCATTTCTTCAACAGATTTACAACGAGTCCCATAAATCTCTGCTCTGCACATGTGTCCCCACTCAAGGAATTTCCCTAGGAATGCTACTTGAGGATTTTCAGGAAATTACAATAGTTTGAATGAATTTAGAAAGAGTCACATGCCTAGGAYGTATCATAATAGGTATTGCAGAAAGGAAGCTGAGCAATACATTGAGAAAYATTCAATATATGGGATTTCATTAGTGCGGGGTCAGAGCACTCAGCACTTCAAAAGCCACGTTGTTCACTCTCATGTTTTCAGTGGAATTTTATGGAACACAAGTTTTTTCCTTAATTCTACCAAATACTATTTCAACTATTAAACCTGGAATTCAAGGTATTTAGGAAGTTCTGCAGAAGCATAAGCTTTAAAATGTATCTATAGAAAATTATATCCCTTTCATGAGTGGAAACTGCTTTTCCACTTCTTAACCACTGGGAAAAGAAAGAAATAAATCTTTTATCAACTTCATTGATGCTTGTTGGAGCTGAAATGACATTGTATTAGAAGGTGATGCTTGAAGTGACTAGAAATTTAATTTATTAAATTAAATTAAATTAATTGAGGCAGCTGCTCTTTGGGATCAACATGGCAGGGTTGGGGTGTGAATAGTTCATGGCCACCAGAGAGGGGTCGATGCTCACAAATTCACCCCAAAGGGATAAGCAGGAGGCTCCCAGGCCAAGGCAGCCCCACCCAAGCCCACCCACCCCAAAGCAATCCCTTCAAAGAGCAGCAGCAGCACAGACCCACCTGGGGTGAAAGCACAGAACATCAAACCACGCCAGGGGTAAGTGAGATGGATCCAACCCAACCCAGCTTTGTGAGAACCAAGGGTTTGTGTGAGCAGCTCTGAGAGGGGCTGTGCCCTCTGTCCCCTCTGTCCCTTCAGTGTCACATCGCCCTGAGCCCTGGGCAAAGCTCCTCATCTCACCTTCGATCACACACTGCTCCGGGATGGGGATCCTCCTGCCCATCTCCAGCACAAAYTCCTTCACCTTGCCCAGGTTTGCCTTCAGGTGCAGGTACAGCTTGTCCTGGTGCTCCCCAGGGTCTGTCACCGCCTCTGCCCGTCCTTCCACGGCCTTTTCCAGGCTCAATTCCAGCACATTGGCTGGTGGTGGGTAATCCATGCCTTGGGGTGAAACCAGGGAGTCCCCCACATGTGTTGCTTCGGGGGGCACCCCAAAGGGCACTTTCTCATGCTCCTGGCTGAGGTAGATGTCAGAGAAKGAGATGCCAGCAGSGATGTCCCCGCTGTCCTCGTCCTGTCCCCCCTCCGAGCTCACCCCCTTCATCCGCAGCGTGTGCAGGGCCAGGCTCTTGGACCTGCAGGGGGAGGAAGGAAGGGAAAAAGGGTTTGGAACAGAGCAGGGCACAAAAATCCCCCCAAAACGTGCTCTGTGCAGCTGCCTTGGAGAGCTGACTGTGGGGCTCACCCAGCTGGGGAGGAACCTTCTGGGAAATCTGCATTTCTAAAGCCCAGCTCGAGGCACAGCTTCAATAAGAAGTGAAATGAAATAATAACCAAATCATAAATATCCACATCTCCCAACATCTGCCGTGGGGGAGCGAGGCAGCCCCTCTGCAGGGATCTCATAACCCCGGCAGTGGCGTGGCTGCTTTATCCATCACATCATAAAAACGCCATCCTGCAGCATTTCCCTGAACCAGGAGCCTTCTCCTGCTCCTCCTGCCTGGGATCCTGGGGATGGAGGAAGCAGAGAGGGCAGGAAGAGCAGAGCTCTGTGTGGAGCTGTGGGGCAGGGACAGCCTGAGGAYCCTGGGGGTCACGGTGCTGCCATTTGATAAATATTGTCAGTGATAGCACCCCAAAAAGCTCTCAGCACCTTCCTTCCTGTGATATCTCCATGCTGTTGTTTTCCTGTTGCTTTAGGGCACAGGGACATTAAATGGGATCCCAGAGAAGCTGTGGCTGTCCCTGGAGCCCTGAGGTGTC